TGTTTTCGAATGGAATTTTCTGAATATATCTGTTATTTATCTGGTCTAGTATGTCATTCATTCAAAACCACTGTTTCCTTGCTGATTTTCTGTTTGGATGATCTGTCTATTGATGTAAGTGGGGTGTTAAAATCCTCTTCTTACTATGGATTAGTTCCTTTATTTTTATAATTAACCATTTTATGTATTTTGGTGATCCCACGTTGGGTGCATAAAATTTACAATTGTATCTTCTTGTTAGATTGTCCACTTTTATTATAATATAGTGTCCTTCTTTGTCTCTCATTACAGTCTTGTTAAAGTCTATTTTGTCTGACATAAGTATTGCTACTCCAGCTTTCTTTTGACATCTATTTGCATGATGTTTCTCCATTCCCTTACTTTCAATCTGCAGGTCACTTCAGGTCTGAAATTAGTTTCTTGTAGGCAGCCTATAGATGAGTCTTGTTTTTTTATCCATTCTGTATCCCTATGTCCTTTGACTGGAGTGTTTAATCCATTTATACTCAAAGTAATTATTGATAGATATATATTTATTGCCATTTTGTTACATGTTTTCTGGTTGTTTCTGTAGTTTTTCTCTGATCCCTTTAGCTCCTGCTATCTTTAATCATTTGCTGGCTTTCTTTAGTGATATACTGGGATTTCTTTTTCTTATTCTTTGCATATCTATTACTGGATTTGGGTTTGGGGGTTACCATTAGGTTTGTATAGAACATTGCATGTAACAATCTGTATGAAGTTGATGGTCACTTAAATTGGAACCCATTCGTTACTCTCTCACTCTCTCCCATTTTAGGTATGTGGTGTCATATTATAAATCCTTTTATTTTGTGAATCCCTTCACTGATATTTGCAGATAGACTTATTTTTACTTTTGTTGTGTTTTGTACTTTTCATATTCTCACTTATGGTCTTTCCTTTCCACTCTAAGAGTCCTCTTTAATATTTCTTGTGGGGACGGTTTAGTGGTCATGAACTCCTTTAGTTTTTATTTGTCTGAGAAACTCTTTATCGCTGTTTCTATTCTGAATTATAGCCTTGCCGAATAGAGTATTATTGGCTGCAGATTTCTCCCTTTCAGCCCTTTGAATTTATCATGGCACTCCTTTCTAGCCTGCAAAGTTTCTGCTGAAAACCAGCTGATATCCTTATGTGGTTTCCCTTGTATGTAATAGTTTTTTCTCTTGCTGCTTAAAAAATTTTCTCTTTATCACTACATTGTGATTAGCAGATGTCTTGGTGTGGACCTCCCTGGGTTGATTTTGTTGGGGGATCTCTGCTTTCTGGATCTGGATATCTGTTTCCTTTCCCAGATTAGGGATGTTTTCAGCTATTATTTCTTTAAATAAATTTTCTGCCCCCTTTTGTCTCTCCTTCTAGGATCCCTATACTGTGAATATTATTATGCTTGATGAAGTCACTGAGTTCCTTAAGTCTGTTCTCATTTTGTATATATATTTTTTTCTCTCACTTACTTTGCTCAAATACTTTCCATTATTCTGTCTTCCAGGTTATTAATTTGTTCTTCTGCTCCCTCTAGCCTGCTATTTATTCCATCATGTGTATTTTTAATTTCAATTATCATATTATTGATCTCTGATTGTTTTCTTTTTAATCTCTTTGTTAAGGATCTCATTGACATCTTCTATTCTTTTCTCAAGTCCACTGAATATCATTATAATCATTACTTTAAATTCTCTATCAGGCATAACACATCTGTTTCACTTAGGTCCCTTGCTATGATTTGTCTTGTTCTTTAATTTGGGACATATTCCTCTGTTTCCTCATTTTGTCTAACTCTCTGTGTCTGTTTCTGTGTGTTAGGAAAGTCAGTTACATCTCTTGCCCTTGAAAGTAGTGGGGCATGCTCTTTTAATAAGGCTGTGTCTGTCTTCTTCCCACAGGGATGCGTAGCCACTGCTGAGACCGAGCCAGCCACAGCTGCTCAGGGGAGTGTAGTCTTAATAATATGGACTTGTCCTCCGCAAGAATTCAGGAGATGCAGTGTTGGCATGGTTTGCACTGGTTTTCTGGGGAGGGGACCCACAGTTTTGGGACTGAGGCAGCCTCAGCTGGAGGGGGGAAGGGATGGTGTAGGGAAGTTAGGTAGTGAACGCCAGTGCTTGGCTGGTTCCCACATGTGGCTATGTGATTATGCTGTGGGACGGGGAAGGAAATGGCACCTGCTAGCTCCTTTTTTCCTGGAGAAGTTCCTCAGTGAACTCTGGGATTACTAACTAACTCTCCCTCTTATATGCCCAAATATTTTTGAAACTGCTGCTTCTAAGCTGTATCTTACTAGCAGTTGTGCTTTCTCTTTAAGCCTGGGGACTCAGCTTCCTAATACCCTCCAGGCTCTTTTAGAGTGGAGCCACTGATTTTTGAAAATTCTAGGGTTAAATCCTGCTGGTTGTAAGAACTCATGAAATCTGGCCCCTCTGATTTTCAGAGCCAAATGCTATGGGGATTCATCTTCCCTGTTCAGGGTCTCCAGTGTGATAGTCTATTTCTTACCCCTCTCTGTGCCAACAGACCACCCCAATCCCATGCATGGCCCACTATCCATTTAGGTCCCTACAGTGTCTCCACCCTTCCTACCTTCTTCGATGTAGCCTTTTCTCTACATTTAGTTATGGAGTTTGTTCTGCCAGTCTTTGTGTCTTTTCCTGGGTTATTTGCACTGATGTGTTATCTATTTGTTTCTGTGGGATGAGGTGAAGTTAGGATCTTCCTACTCTGCCGTCTTCCCAGGAATTCCAATAGTGTCTTCCCTCTTGACATTTTAAGTTCAAAACTATGTTTAAAAAATAATCTCAGTGGATCTTAATTTATGGCTATAATTGCATCCATCAGAGCTTTCTGAGTTCTGTTTTCTTGTAGTTATTTTCTGTCTGTCCCTTTAGATCTGCCTTAGTGGGAATACCTCTTTGTATCATTCAAATTGGTCTTCCTCTCTGAAGTTACTTAGTCCCAGTAGATGGCTTGTTATATTTCTGTGCCTATTTATGAATGTGAGTTTCCTCAGTACATTATAGTCCTAGCTAGAGATCTCTTGAACAGTAGCTAGAAGGCTTTTGTCTTCGTTATTACCTTTTTCTGTTTTTATAGATGTTGTATTTGTATTCTCTCAAATTTCAATGAGAATAAAAATATAGATTTAAATCTTTCTTCTGTTTCTTAAGATAACACTTTCAGAAGAGAAACATTTGCTCTATGCTTTGAAGATGATTTTCCATTTTCACTTAAAATTCACATTTTTCTGAAGAGAAGCAGTCATTTAAGTCAATATTTCTCTTGTGTAATTTGGCATTCTCTTCATCTACTTTTAAGATTTTCTCTTTTCACTTGGTTTTCAACATTTCACTCTGATGTGTAGGCATGATTTTCTTTATATACATCAACTTGGGGTTTGCTGAGCATCTTGAGTATGTAAATCTTGCCAAATTTGAGAAATTTTCAGCTACTTTTTCAACCATTTTTTCTATCACTTTCTCTCTTTTCCTTATAAGAAAGCAATTACAAGTTAGATATTTGATAGTATTCCAAATGTTCCTCAGTCCCTCTTCATTTTTAAATATTTGTTCTTATGTCTTTAGATAGGTATTTTCTACTGATGTGTCTTCAAATGGTCTGACTCTTTCCACTGTTCTATCCAATTTGTACCTATGCTCATCCTTTAAATTTTTAAAATTCAGGTACTGTATTTTTCTCTACTGTAATTTACATTGGCTGTTTTTTATAGGTCATAGTAATCTGGAATTTTTATTATTTCCTTCATTATGAACATATTTGCCCTTCCTTTGGGTATTGTTATAATAGCTGCTTTAAAATTCTTGTACACTAATTTTAAAATCAAATCTATCTTGAGATCACTCTCTGTAGATTGTTTTTTATCATATGAGTAAGTCTCATTTTGCTGTTTCTTTAAGTGTCAAGTAATTCTAAATTGTATTCTGAATATTGGGAATATCATGTTTTTCAAACTCTGGATTCTGCTATATTCTTCTGGTATGGTTTATTTTTGTTTGTTTTGCATTAATATACTTAACATTATTGGATGCAAAATGAAAATTCTGTGTTTAGGCAGCAGCTCAAATTGCATATCAGTTCTTTTAGGTTTTGGTAGGCTGCTTAGTCTTCCCTATGTGTATGTGGTTCAGGGCTTGTGGGGGGCAGTTGGGAAGGGTTTATACAGAGTTTGAGTCTCCTTCTCTCATTCTCTCTTCTTTGTGTGACTGCCCCTAAGTTTTTCAGTGGTTATGATTGCCCTGATTTCCTTCCTCTGGTTTGTAAGGTGTAAAAACTCATTTTTTTTTTTAATCAGCTATTAGATGCCCTGTCTGGCCCAGGTAGGGCTTGCCCTCAGACTAGAAGCCAGGAAACAAGAATCTTACCTAGGACTCTTTCTTCTTCCAAGCATCACCTTCTTTCAAGAATCTACCTATTCTTGGTTGCTATCCAGTGTTGATATTTATATTTTGTTCCGAGTTTGTAGTTTTTATGTGTGGCAGGGTCTGTCCTGTAGGAACTTGCCCTGCTATTCCAGAAACAGAGCTGGGATTTTAGATATGATTCCTCAAACTGTCTCTGATCTGATGGAGAATTGCTGAGACATTTCATGTGTAACAGAATCCATTCATTCTCACAAAGTCAAAACTATGTTTATTTTTCACTAAGAGTAGAGTTGCTTCTTTTCATAAAATTTGAAATGTTTGTATTTAAATATTTCAGGCCTAGAGAAAAGGAAAAATGAAATATTTAACTTACTGTAGTAATAATTTATCAGATTCAAGTCAGTTTTCCTGTAGAAAATCAATAGGATGATACAGCTGCAGAAATTATCCACCATTATTCCTGAGAAAAGTGCAAGTAATGTGTGTGCTTCAGTCATCATCTTGGCTATCTGTGTATTTTAGAAAGATAATAATTGTAACAATAAATTCATAGAAACAGAAATACTAAAATGAATGCATTTCCCCCCTTATATTATATCGTAGAAAGTAGCACATGCTCTGGAAATTGAGAACAAAGTCCTTCAGGAACAACTGAAACAGGCTCTCCAGGTAAATTACATTATGTTCTTTTAAAATTGTTAACAAGTGAAAGAAATATCTGTAAACAACTTTAAATGAATAATTTTGACCTTGAAAACTAATAGGTTTATGTATTGTACTATTTTTCCAGATTTAAAGTACTTTCATTTTATGTACTAGGAATATATTAATAAAATTTAATATTCATTCTTATTCAAAACAACTAGAAAGAAAAGTAAATTTCCTTAATCAAATAAAATAAATCTATTTCAAACTGAGACACTGTTATGTGGACAATAATGCAGGCATTCCAGCTCAATCCAATTAAACTAGGATATTGGTTTTTACTACTCTTTATGAAATTCTTGTTAAGTGATTAAGGAAATGAAAAAAGCTACAAACATTTTCATAAGTGGATAGACAAAAGTATAATTATTTTTATATCACTTTTCCTTTGAAAAAATGCAAGATAATACACAAATGTATTAATGATATAAGTCCAAAATGTGGCTGAAGACAAAATAGATATAAAAAAACAATGGAAGGAGCTGGGAAAATGGCAGAATAGGAGGACCCTAAGCACAGCTCATCCTACAGATATAGCTAGATAACACTCATATCAGCATAAATAACCCAGAAAACAACCTGAAGGCTGGCAGAACAAACTCTGCAGTTAAAGGTAGAGAAGAGGCCACATTGAAAAGGGTAGGCAGGGTGAGGACATGATGGGGAGCTAAACATGCATGTGGGACTGTCCCCAGGAGGAAGGGACACTGTGAGTAAAAAGAGGGAAGAGAAGCAGACTGTTACACTGGGGAGCCTACAGGGAGAAGATGAATCTCCATAACATCTGACTTTGAAAACAAGAGTCTCCAAATTTTGTGAGTTCTTACAAGTAGCAGGACTTAACGCCTGGAATTTTCAAAATGAGCAGGCTGTCTCTGAGAGAGCCCTGAGGGTATTAGGAAGTGGAGTACTGTCTTTAATGAGACAGCACAATAAACAACTTATGGAGGTACTTATGGAGGTATAGTAGCAGCAGTTTGAAAAATGCTTGGAGTATATGGGAGGGAGAGTTATTTACTCATCTCAGAGTGGTGAGAATCAAAGGGAAACCCCTCTAGGAACAAAGGAGGTGTTAGGTGTCTTCACTCTTCCCTACCTTCCAGCATAAACATAAGGCCATCTCTAGGAACCAGCATGACGCCAACATTCAGTACATTACACTAAGCCCCACCCTCTCACCCTTCAGTAGACCCAAACTTCCCATTTGCCTCAGTTCCAGTGCTGTGGGTCCTTTCCCCAGAAGACCCATGCCAACTTCACCAATACCTCCTCTCTTGTTTTCTACTCATTTTGGTCCTCTTGGTCCTGGCAGTGGTGGCAGGCCCTATGGAAGCCCAACCTGCAACCTTGTTAAAATTGTGTGCCCTACCCATGCAGCACTGGTCCACTGCCACAGAAGCAGTGGCAGGTCTCATTTCACTAACAGACTGGTGTGTACCTTGTAAAATGTGCTCCACCACAGCCAGGGACCAAATACTGTCAACAATAGGCAGAGAGTTCTGCAGATGACTGAAGGTTGATAGATAAAGATGTTATATATATATAACATGTATGTTATATATATATGTTATATGTGTTGTGTTACATATATGACTATATATGTTATATATATATATATATATAATGCAATATTATTCAGCAATAAAAAGGAACAAAATCTTTCCATTTGCAACAATATGGATGCAGCTAGAGAGTATAATGGTAAGCAAAGTAAGCCAGTCAGAGAAAGACAGTTACTATATGATTTCACTCATATGTGGAATTTAAGAAACAAAACAAACAGGGACGTCTGGGTAGCTCAGTCAGTTAAGCATTAGCCTTCGGCTCAGGTCATCATCCTGGGACCCTGGAATCAGTCCCATGTCGGGCTCCCTACTCAGCAGTGAGCCTGCTTCTCCTTCTGCCTCTCCCCTCTGCTCATGCTCTCTCTCTCAAATAAATCTTTAAAAAAAGAAAAAACAAACAAAGGAAAAAGAAGAGAGAGAGACAAACCAAGAAACAGACTCTTAACTTCAGAGAGCAAACAGATGGTTACCAGAGGGGAGGTGGTTGGGAAGGTGTGTGAAATAGTGGAAGGGGATTAAGAGTGCACTTATCTTGATGAGCACTGAGTAATATATGGTAAGTCACCATTTTGTATACCTGAAACTAATACAACACTGCACATTAACTACACAGGAGTTAAAATTTAAAGAAAGGAAAAGGAAAAAAGCAATAGGTTTCCTTTTTATACAAAACAACTATTTAGAAACCATAATGGAGATGATTCTATTTATTTACTTATTTATTTATTTTGCTTATTTTATTTAAATTCATTTAGTTAACATATAGTGTACCACTAGTTTCAGATGTAGAGTTCAATTATTCATCTGTTGCATATAACACCCAGTGCTCATTACATCAAGTGCCCTCATTAATGCCCATCACCCAGTTACCCCATCCCCCACCCACCTCCCCTCCAGCAACCCTCAGTTTTTTCCCCATAGTTAAGAGTCTCTTATGGTTTGTCTCTGTCTCTAATTTCATCTTACTTCATTTTTCCCTCCCTTCCTCTATGATCCTGTTTTGTTTCTTAAATTCCACATATGAGTGAAACCATATGATAATTGTCTTTCTCTGATTGACTTATTTCACTTAGCATAATACCCTCCAGTTCCATCCATGTCATGTAAATGGTATGATTTTATCCTTTTTGATGGCTGGGTAATATTCCATCGTATGTATGTATGTGTATATGTGTGTATATATATATACACACCACGTATTCTTGTCCATTCATCTGTCAACGGACATCTGGGCTCTTTCCATAGTTTGGATTGTGGACATTGTTGCTATAAACATTGGGGTGCAGGTGCCCCTTCAGATCACTACATTTGTATCCTTTGGGTAAATACCCAGTAGTGCAATTGCGGGTTTGTAGGGTAGCTCTGTTTTTAACTTTTTGAGGAAACTCCCTACTGTTTCCCAGAGTGGCTGTACCAGCTTGCATTCCCACCAACACTGTAAGACAGTTCGCCTTTCTCTGTATCCTTGCTAACATTTCTTGTTTCCTGACTTGTTAATTTTTGCCACTCTAACTGGTGCGAGGTGGTATCTCATTGTGGGTTTGATTTGTATTTCCCTGATGCCAAGTGATGTTGAGCATTTTTTCATGTGTAGAGATGATTCTATTTATAATACCTGAGTAGCATATTTAAAACATATAGAGTTTTTTTTTAAATGAAGAAAAACATACTTTACTGAGGGATATAGATGAATAGTGAAGAAATAGAAATTTATATTTTTGGTTTTGAAGGTTCAATATTATAAATATTTCAATCTTCTACTTTTTTCCAAATTGATATATAGATTTAAAGCAATTTATTTCTGGATGTAAATTGAATTATTTTTTAATTTAACAGAATTATTACAGAATATATTGAGATAAGAAACTGGTGACTATACAAAAGAATAATAAGGATTTGGTCATTCAAAAATCAATATGTAATGTAACATACTCTAATAACTAACGCAATGTGGTTCTGGATTTGGTTCTGAATAAAAAATCCAGAAACAGATTCAAAGGAATGTAATAATTTAGTATATTGTAGTTTTAGTTATTGAAACTTTTTTATAGAAAGACAAAATAGTCACAAAAAGTAAACTACTATGAAAAACTAGTTCTCATGTAATAGTTTGTGACATACCTCAAAATAAGTTGCAGCTTGATTTAAGATCCAAAATTAATAAATGAAGTATGATGTTAGAATAAACACTGGGTAACAGTTATATGGTCTTGGCTAGAGCAAGGTTTTCTAAGCATCATATTGCAAAGGAATATTGCAATATATTTGGCTATTATTAATTTAAAACTTTTGTATGGTAAAAGATTCATTAGATATAAAGATAAATGCAAATTCTTAACAGAATGTTTTATATGACGATCTTTTACAAATCTATAAGAAATATGAATGCCCTTCCCCCAAATATTCCCCCAAATAGACACAAAAGGGAGGTCATAACCTAGAAACACACAAGGGCAATAAATGCATATGAATATATCCAACCTCACTAGTTATCAAATAAATGCAACTTAAAATGACAGTGCGATAGATTTTTTTTTTACTTACCATTTCAATAAAAATTTTAGGAACAGAAATGTCTAATATTTGCAGATATATGCTAAAATAAGTAATTTTTTATATAATTCTATTACTATGAATCAATACTTCTCTGGAAGAAAATATATGGCAAAAGTTTTGGGACAACATAGGCTTTTCATTGAATCATTGCAGTTACAAAAATTTATCATAAGGAAGAAAAGGGTGTACAGGGATTTTGTACAAGTATGTATAATATAAAAAATTTTAATAGCAAAAATTTTTAAATTTTTAAATTACCAATAATATTACCAATAATATTACCAATATTTCTTATTGTCCCTAATAAGAAATTTGCTGAATAAAAGTATACTATTAAATGTACTTCTCTCAGCTATTCTGATTTAGATGTACATTTATTGTCATTGGAACATATCTGTGACATTATTTAATAAAAAGAGCATATCAAGTATGTATAGTAGGAGCCTAAAAATTTTAAAAATACATATATGCACTAGTTATATTTAGAAATAATGAAAAAGGATATATATCAAATCTTAACAGTGAGTTTTCTGTTTGTGGTGAGATTATTTGTGAACTTTATTTTTGTTGATCTAAGTAAAAAATTATTAAAAGCAGCATTTAAAAACCTTATATTCTAGAAGAAATAAATTATTTTCCACATTTTCTTTTATTATTTGATACTATAGGTATTAATTACCTTGGTTACATTCTATCACCTTTTCTAATGTATAACTTTTATTTAGTTTTATTATGCCTCTATATTAATTAGAGCTTTAAAAAAATAATAGGAGAAAAAAAATAATAGGAGAACTTCCTGGGATATAAAAATAGCCCTCAAAGTGGACGGCATTTCTTCAGTTTTTAATTTTAATCTATGGGTTAATTCAACTATGGACTATACCAGTGGTTTAATTCAGCTTCTCCAATTTAGTAAAAATAAAATTGAGAAGTAATGTGGACATGCATATATTCTTATTCCTGAAAGTTGTAATATTGACAGAAAAATGTTACACATAATGCTTGATAAACCATTACTTTTTTAAAAACAGGAAGCTGAACGAGCAAAGCATCAACTTGACTATTTCCTAAATCAAGGGAAAGAATTACTTAAGAGTGAAGGGAAGACCAAGACAACAATGGAAATGGGTATTAGTAAAATAAAAGTTGAAGATTCAAAAGATATACCATTGGAGAGAAGAAGAAGGAAATCACTAGTTACAGATTCAGGTGGACAAAAGACAAATTCTAAAATCCAAGAACATCCCGAGGTAAGGAAATTACTGAAATAGAGAAAACAGTAGAGTCAGAAAAAACAGTAATCTGTGCTGTAAGATTTTCTTTTATATTGTTGTTTACTTCATTTGTATACATTATTTCAAAAAAACTCTATGCCCTGTTTTTTTGCTTGGACCTTTTGTCTTTTACCTTTGGTTATAGCAATTTATTTTCTTGAATACAAATTTATAAATTAGGTATGTATTGGTTTTGAATGATGATATAAACACCCGAGATTTGAGAGCCAGAAAAAAATAGGATTTCATAGACTAAAGATTTTTGCTATAAATTAACAAAATTAAATATAAATGCTAAACTATGGGGAAACATTTTCAAATTTATCTTTTTACTGAAGTACAGTTGACACACAATGTTGTATTAGTTTCAGGTGTACAATATAGTGACTTGTTAAGTATGTATGTTATGCTTTGCTCGCTGCAAGTGTAGCTATTATCTGTGGGGAAAAATTCTTGAAAAAATGTATTTTTGTTTGTGTTGTGCAGTAGATTCAGAAGCTCTTTCTTGAACATTGAGATTTATTAATCTTGCCTTAGAAGAAAATAACAGTCTACACAGAAGCAACTTTATTAACAATTAATGGAAAAAGTTCAAGAAGTAAAGCAAAACTGTCAAGAATATAATTTTGCTTGTCTTTGTTCTAGCAGGATAGGTATTATCAGGTCCCTCATTTCTTTAATATTTTATATTCTTTAGTGTCCTTCCTTCTTGTTTTCAGAATAAGAGTTTATGTGTATAAGAGATAGCATAGTAAAACTAGCAAATGGGAAATTAATAAAGTAAAATTAAAGGCCAATACTCTAGCTTTTTAAAGGAGACTATCATCACACAGTAATTTTATCCTTATTTTAATCTTTTTTGTATATAAATTTTTAAGTTTTTATTTTAATTCCAGTTAGTTAACATACAGTGTAATGTTAATTTCAGGTGTACACTTTAGTGATTCAACTCTTATATATAACATCTGGTGCTCATCACAAGTGCTCTCCTTGATCCCCAACATCTATTTAATCCATTGTATATAATTTTAATTGCAAACTATGTCAGTTTCTTCTTGGAAAGATAAAAAATTGCTCTTAGTGAAAAAGAAATTATTAAGGTTATTAGGGTTTTTTTGTTTTTGTTTTTTGCCCTGAATTGAATACAAAAGCAAATTTTTTAGAAATGCATGTTTCTGTGAACTGGCTTAAAACAAAGATAAAGTGTGGCAACACAATTTAAAATGTGCTAGGCATTTTATATCCTCTATCATTATAAAATATGCTGGTGATCTTATGTATATGTGCTAGTCATTTACACAGTAAGTAATAGGTACCAATCATTTACACAATAAGTAGCAAGATAGCTATAAGCACCCCCATTTTGAAGATGAAACGAGCCTAAATAAACGAACTATGCAACATCATAGTAATGTTGAATTAGACTTCAAACGTAGGTCTTTCTGGCTTCAAAATCATGTCAGGATATCTTCTTTTCCTGTCTGTGTGGCTGCATTTGAACCCTCACTTTGTTAATAGGCTAGTGTTTTTTTATTTCCCAGGATTTTCCCCATAACCAAAATAAAGTCTGTCATATATGACGAGTTAAATAGAAAATGTTAGATTAAAAAGTAAGATGATTTTGAAAGAGCAACTTCATTACCTGAAGCATTTTACCAGGTAACTTCATCACCTGCAACCTGGGCAAGTGATTTTTAATTTTAGTGGTTTTTAAATAGATTAACACACACCTCTTCTATTAAATATTCAGTTTAACAATCCTTATAAAACACCTACTATATACTAGGTTCTTTGCATGGATGTTGTATATAGTATCATTTATTTGGATTGCCCTGCTCTGGTAATAATGAAACAGGAATCATTACTGAGGATTTTGATGGAATAGAAGTTGTTCATACTCACTGTCTCCATGTCCTTATAGTAATTCTTCACTTAAGTGTAACCTTTTTTCCCAACTACTATATTAAAACTATTTTTGCCAAGGTCACAACAATTTGCTTGATCTTATTCTGAAGGATGCTTTATAGTTTTATCTCACTTATCCTCTTAGCATTACTTGATCATGTTTGACCATTTCTTTCCTTCTTTCTTTTTTTTTTAAAGATCTTATTTATTTATTTGAGAGAGTGAGAGAGAGAGAACAGAAGCAGGGGGAGGGGCAGATGGAGAAGGAGAAGCAGAGTCCTCGCTGAGCAGGCAGCCTGATGTGGGGCTTGATCCCAGGACTCTGGGATCATGACACGAGCCGAAGGCAGACGCTTAACCCACTGAGCCACCCAGGTGCCCCCTGACCATTTATTTTTAATGTAGTCTGCATTTTGTTTTACAGACAGAATAATTACTTGGTTTTCTTTATATTTCTGTGTTTTGGTCTCCTCTTGTACTGCCCATTTTTTAACTGTTGGTGTTTCTCTGAGTTTTCTCTCCTGGATTCTCTTTTTATTCCACATACTCTTTCTGAGCATGCTTATATACCTTTATGGCTTCAAGCGCCAAATAAATCTTGTGTCAAACCCAAATATCACTTAATTGCCAGACCTATTATCTATCAGCTTACTGAATTTACCTACTGAAATGGTCCACAGCATCTAGAACTCATCATGTCCTAAAAGGAACTAATTGCTTTCTTCTTAGACTACTTATTCTCCCACTAGTCACAATTTTCTGGCATCCTCATACACCTAATTGCTGAAACTAGAATCATTTTTGTCTCTCTTTTTTTTTTAATCAATCCAATTATTAGCCATAAAATTTTGCCCATTTTTTCCGGTTTTCCTGGCAATTCCCAGGATGCTACCGGGATTCTAATTGCTGTTCTTTTGTCCAGAATTTACTGTCTTCTGTCCAGTCTCCATGTTGATGTCTAGTCATCTTTCAAATTGAAATCTGTTCATGTTAACCTTCTTGCCTAAAATCTTTAATGATTCCCATTATTCTTTGGTTGAAGTACAAATTCCTAATTATGGGTTAAGGTGTCAGATCTGGTCCTTTCTTGAGATGCCAGCCTCATTTTTAATTAGCCCTCACCCCCCCCACCCATTCATTGCACATGACTTCGTAAGCATGAGTGTGCACACACACGTACAAACATATATTTATGCTTTAGCTACATTGAACTTCCTTAAGTTCATGGAACACACTATGTTTTCTGTCACCTTCATGATTTTGCATAATTTGCTCTCTTTGTTTTCAACACTGTTTCTCCCTCCCTTGTTTCTTAAAATTCATCTGGTTAAAAAATGAATGAAGAACAAAAAGTACTATGTTATCTTTTGGTACATAATAAATTACTCCAAAACTTAGTGGCTTAGACAACAAACATGTATTATTTAATAGTATCTGTGAATCAGAAATCCAGAAAGAAGGCTTAGCTAGGTCCTCTAGTTCATGGTCTCTCACAAAGATGCAATCAAAGTGTTATCAAAGAAAAATCAGAGCTGGGCAGTCAAGTGGTTAAAACAGATTTTTGTTCAAAGCCATTGCAATACAAGAAAAGAGACCTCAGTATAGAACTGTGTTCAATTCCTAATACGCCATGGGAAAGTAGAAATTTATAGCCGAAGAGTAGGTTGGTGGACAGTGGAAAATTACTAAGAGGAAACACTGGGGGGTGTAAGGGAGATTCTGGCTGAACTGACCTAACAGGATCTTTGCCAAAGAAAGGCAAGAGTGATCAGCTATAGAAGTGCCTGGGTGGCTCAGTTGGTTAAGCGACTACCTTTGGCTCAGGTCGTGATCCCAGGGTTCTGGGATCAAGCCCCACATCTGGCTCCCTGCTCACCAGGGAACCTGCTTCTCCCTCTCCCGCTCTGCCTGCTTGTGCTCTCTCTCTCTGTCAAATAAATAAGTAAAATCTTTATTTTATTTTTTTTAAATTTAATTTAATTTTATTATGTTATGTTAGTCACCATACAGTACATTGTTAGTTTTTGATGCAGTGTTCAAAAAAGAGTGATCAGCTATCACCTGGGGGATAGTGAAGGATGAGGAACCTGATTAAGTATTGAGGGAGATCAATTATGGAGAATGGGGCACTGTTGCTAAATTGACTTATTAGGATTCTTACTAAAATTGGATTTTAAAAGGAAGTGGACAACTTCTCCAACGTTCGTTGTTTCTTGCCTTGTCAATTTTTGCCATTCTAACTGGTGTAAGGTAGTATCTCAATGTGGTTTTGATCTGAATTTCCCTGATGGCTAATGATGATGAACATTTTTTCATGTGTCTGTTAGCCATTTGTATGTCTTCTTTGGAGAAGTGTCTGTTCATGTCTTCTGCCCATTTTTGGACTTGATTATTTGTTTTTTTGGGTGTTGAGTTTAAGTTCTTTTTAGATCTTGGATACCAGCCCTTTGTCTGTAGTGTCATTTGCAAATATCTTCTCCCATTCTGTGGGTTGCCTCTTTGTTTTGTTGACTGTTTCCTTGGCTGTGCAGAAGCTTTTTATCTTGATGAAGTCTCAAAAGTTCATTTTGCTTTTGTTTCACTAGCCTTTGGAGATGTATCTTGAAAGAAGTTGCTGTGGCCGATGTCAAAGAGGTTACTACCTATGTTCTCCTCTAGGATTTTGATGGATTCCTGTCTCACATTGAGGTCTTTCATCCATTTTGAGTTTATCTTTGTGTATGGTGTTAGAGAATGGTCAAGTTTCATTCTTCTGTATATAGCTGTCCAATTTTCCCAGCACCATTTATTGAAGAGACTGTCTTTTTTCCATTGCATATTTTTTCCTGCTTTGTCGAAGATTATTTGACCATAGAGTTGAGGGTCCATATCTGGGCTCTCTACTCTGTTCCATTGGTCTATATGTCTGTTTTTGTGCCAGTACCATGCTGTCTTGGTGATCACAGCTTTGTAATAGAGCTTGAAGTCTGGCATTGTGATGCCACCAGCTTTGGTTTCCTTTTTCAACATTCCTCTGGCTATTCAGGATCTTTTCTGGTTTCATACAAATTTTAGGATTGTTTGTTCCAGCTCTGTGAAAAATGCTGGTGGTATTTTGATAGGGATTACATTGAATGTATAGATTGCTTTCGGTAGCATAGACATTTTTTAAAAAAATTTTATTATGTTAGTCACCATACAATACATCATTAGTTTTTGATGTAGTGATCCATGATTCATTGTTTTTGTATAATAGACATTTTAACAATATTTGTTATTCCATTCCAGAAGCATGGAATGTTTTTCCATTTGTTTGTATCTTCCTCAATTTCTTTTATAAGTGTTCTATAGTTTTCAGAATACAGATCTTTGACCTCTTTCATTGGGTTTATTCCTAGGTATCTTATGGGTTTTGGTACAATTGTAAGTGGGATTGATTCCTTGATTTCTCTTTCTGCTGCTCCATTATTAGTGTACAGAAATGCAACAGACTTCTGTGCATTGATTTTATATCCTATGGTTTTGAAGCAATCCATTTTTATTGTACATTTTGTTCTTAGGTTAGATTTATAGTTTATAATTGTAAACATTTAGCAGCTATAACGTAAGCTTGTTTGACTAGTGAACTTAGGCAGAAAAAAATTTTATATCTGCATGCATTAAAGCTCACATCTCAGTGTATGCTTCCTTTTATTTTAACAACAATTTAAAAACTAGCTTTATTTACCAATTTATATTCCAGATCCTATGAATCTAAAAAAAAAACCCACCAAAATATTTGTGTTAGTTTTTGTATTTTTGGGAGTTGTCTTAGAAATACTTAATTTATAATGGCACTCATTCATCTCTAAGCTAATTTGAATAGAATTCTAAGAGATTTTATCAAGTAATTTGATGATATCATTTGGAGGAAAAAGTAGCACATGTATATAATACACATACATATAAACAAACATACAAACAGATGCAAAAAGAGATCTTAATACTTTCATTCTAAAATTTTAGCCTTGAATCAGTAAAACATAATACAAACAACTGGTTTATATGGAAGAGTTAGCTCTTATCTTTTTTCAACTTTATATTTTTATTCAAATTGTGTTTCTGGCAACTGGGACAAGCTAAGGTTACATGTTTGTCAATATTTGTGGAAGAGACTTTTTGCCTTGATATGTAATCTAATGAAGTTGTGGACTAAGTTTTAGGTGAGTGACTGAGAAGATGTCTAGTGGCTATCTGGCTCATCAAGTGGACAAATCACTAATTTTGTTTACAAATAGCCCCTTTCTCTCTTTTCAACCTGAAATGGTTGCATTTGGGGGTCTGAGTCTCTTGAGATCTCTTCATAGGGGGTATGGGGGCTTAATGTTTAAGTGACTCTAGGGAACTGAGGGGCTCAAGTTGGAAAGGGAAAGCCTGGCAGGATAGGCAGAAGGGTGAGGGAGGTTGGTGGTTAAAGAGGGACATACCAAAGGATTCAAGAGAACCTTAGTGAAGATTGAAGGTGATAAAAAGAGGAAAGAGAAACATTAGTGATGGGAAGGGAGAGGTTTCAAAGGTTTTCAGTCAATTGAGAAGCTCCCATGTTCTTAACTTTTGGTACCTTTATACTTAAACAGAAAACTTAGGACTCAGGGCGCCTGGGTGGCTCAGTTGGTTAAGCGACTGCCTTCGGCTCAGGTCATGATCCTGGAGTCCTGGGATCGAGTCCCGCATCGGGCTCCCTGCTCAGTAGGGAGTCTGCTTCTCCCTCTGACCCTCCCCCCTCTCATGTACTCTCTCTCTCTCTCATTCTCACTCTCTCAAAATAAATAATAAATAAATCTTTAAAAAAAAAAAACAAACTTAGGACTCAAACATAGCTTCTGTTCCTTACAGATTAGCCTCTTACAGATAGAGAAGCCTGGAAATCTAATCCAGCCTCCACTTATCTGAGACTTTAACCAGATTCTGGAGTATACTCAGAATCTTAAGAATCAAAATCTGTCCCTACTAGCTTCAGTGGACATTTGCATGGAACAATGGTTTAGGAGTTGGACTCACCAATGGATCCTCAATTAATCAGGAGTTAAGACAATGGCTTAAAAAATGCAAAAAAATTGAGATCCTGGGTGAGTGTTCTGGAGTCCAGTGATGAATCTGACTCTATCTGAGTCACAGCACTATCACTGTCAAAGAAAAACAAGAGCTGGGCAGTAAAGCGGTAAAATCAGATTTTCAATGTCAATGTTGGCCTTGGCTGCATTTGTCTCAAGACCTAACTGGAGGAGGATATACTTCTGGGCTCAGTATATACTCATGTAACTATTGTTGGGCCTCAGATATTTGCTGGATGTTGCTTGGGGACATCAGTTCCTTGCCTTGGAGGCCTTTCCATAAAGCTACTTAGAACATGCAAGCAAGGGCAGAAACAGGGAGAAAGAGAGGGAAAGCAGCAGGGAGGGAGGGAGAAAGGTAGAATCTAATCTCAGAAGTGATATCCTATCACTTTTGCCATATCCTATTCATTAGAAGTAGAAGTAGTCATGAGGGCCAGCCCAAAAACAAGGGAGGGTAATACAACAGGCATGAATACCATGAAACAGGCATCACTGGGAGTCATTTTAGAGATTGCCCACAAATAGATTGATATGAGATTGTGAAAACTCTTGAACTGAATGCTAAGTTAAGTAGTTTGGTTTTCAATTGTCAGAAAGGAAGAACTGCTTTGTATTGATCCCATAATTCATAAGGTCTTACCTATATATTGTAACTATAAATATATTTCATTTCTTTTGCTGATATAGCTGTCCTAGATATCACAATGCCTTGTTTGGCTGTGGAGCTGTGATATCGCTAATATCAAGAGAGAGTTTTCTCAAATGAGGTGGCATGTTCCCAGTGCTCTTGGGCCTGGCTTCATAGGGAAGCCAGCTTATCACCCTGTGCTACTGGTGATAGAAACTTAAAATTTAAAAGGAGTGAAAGAAAAATATTTAGAACTCCTACTACTGGACATTAGATTGCATTACACAAAAGCTCAGTCATATGTATATCTTAATGACATATTTAAGAAGTGAGTGAGTCTGTTTGATTAACATGTTATGACATATTTAAGAAGTCTGTTTGATTAACATGTCTTTGTTTTCGTACCTGTTTTTAAAGTTGCTTATTGAAATAGTAGTCTTTTTAAAATTAGAGGTTAGGGTAAGACCTATTACCTTTTCTATGTGTCAGGAGCTGAACATATTTTTCTATAAAACCCTTAGATATAGGAGGATGATAATACTTTAAAAACATGCTAGAGTAAAATGAGATAATGTTTATCAAATGCTTTTGTATATCATGAAGCACTGTGTGAATGTTATCATTATCATGTTATCATTTAGTTCTGTCCAGTTATCTACATAGTCCATATGAAAACCCATGGTTGTATATTACTTAATATATAGACTAACTCTTATCACATATAGGCCCAGAATGTGTAATGGCTCACATACGATAGAAAATTATTTCCTCATGTAAATACTTCCAGGAAGTTCAGGGTCCATGTTTGTGTTAGGGAGTCCTGCTCTACAGGGTCATTCCAGTATCCTGGCATATGGAGGTTTTGCCATCTTACATTGGCTTCCTGGGCCACATTAAGCATAGATACCCAGCTACCAGAAGAGAAGATGGAAGACCAAACATGAATCAGTTTTCATTGACCAGGCTGGAAGTGGTACACACCATTTTCTCTCATAATTAATTTACCCACATTTAACTGTAGGAGGGACTTAGAAATATAGACCAGTAATGTGCCTTAAGAAAAGAAAATTAGTTTGGTGAACATCAGAAGTCTTTGACACAGGTGAATAAGGATAAAGCTAGCTAGTCTCTGTATGAAAGAAACTGAGTTAGGTAAAATTCAGGCCTGGGATAAAATCTAGAATCAACAATATGCTATAGGAAAACATGTTATCTTCTCAAGGGGTAAGTTATTAATAAAATCACACTCCTGAGGTCATTGGTTTCTTATATTTTTGATCACACACCTCAGTAAGTATATTCTGAGCATGCATTCTCAATATACTTTTACAATTTTTTTAAATTAAAAAAATACTATCATTAGTATACTCTGTGTTAGTACTACCATATTAGTATACTCTTGGCATTTGAATTATAAATGCTTCAAAAAGAATATTAAAAAGATTAAATAATTATGTAATGGATATGTTTAAAATAATGTTTATTTACTATAAATATAATCGCTTCTCGGCCTTTTGGCTAAGATCAAGTGCATTTACTATAAATATAAAGCCCTTTTTGCACTCATTTAGAAATACAATTTTGGTAGTAGTTCATCTTCTACAGTGTTTCTTCCAATGCCAGGTATGATCATTTCTTAGCTTTTTTGATACCTTAATCTTACAAAATTGTCATATTTAAAAACCTGCTTTGAATGATTTTTTTAAAATAATTTAGTATGAACATTTGGTGTGCATGTTTAGTGTATTTAAATTTAGTATTCTTTATCACAGATCTCAAGTGTCCCAAATGGAAGCCCAACTGACAAAAGGTAAAACATTTAAAAATATTCTTTTTCTAATCTTTATCAATTTATATACCTAAATGGTGAAATAGCCATTCTAAATTCAGTATCATAAAACTCCTTGATTTATATCTTTGCTTACAATATTGTACTCTTCGGAACTAATTTTAAATAGAAAATGTTTAAAACTTTAGATGTTGTCAAAGACCAACAGTTTCGGATGCTGTGAAAAATCAAAAATTTTAAGTGAAAAGTTTAAACTAAGGACTAGGTATGGTACAAAGCCACTTTCCTCCCCACATCCCCACCCCACCCCTGCCTCCCTGAGCAACAATTAAATTTTCAGATAATGAGAAACTGAATATGACCCATTTCTTATTAAAGATTTTATTTATTTATTTGAGAGAGAGCACAAGTGGGGGGAGGGACAGAGGGAAAGGGAGAAGCAGACTCCCTGCTGAGCAGGGAGCCAGACTGGGTGGGGGGGTGGTTAATCCCAGGACCCTGAGATCATGACCTGAGCCCAAGGCAGACGCTTAACTGACTGAGCCACTCAGGCGCCCCTGAATATGACCCTTTTTTAAAATGGTTTTTGTGTGAAAACAATTTTTATTTATTTTCAGAAAAATACTTATGGGTGGGATTACTTACCTCACTGAGTCATGACCTCAATACATAAAACACTTAAATTTTTTTTTGCATTTCATTTTTGCTTAATCACTTTATGTATATGCATATGCATGCACATAAATAATTGAGTTGGTTGATTTAACCGATTAAATCTTACAGTTTCATTAGTGAGTGAGTCTGTTTGATTAACATGTTATGATTCACAGACCTTTTCACAAACCTGTCAAGAAACAGAAAGCCTGAACCAGATAGATTAGTGGAACAGTAAATTCTGTCAATAAGAGTTAGGTTGCTCTTCAATGAGAATAAACTATGGCAGTGTTTCCTTTCAGTCATTCACTTGAATTATTGAGAATTCAAATTCAATGTACATGAGGCACTTATTCTTTAATTATACATAGCTTAATATATAAAATTTTGGCTTTGATTGCCACGCAGAAAAGAGGAAAGAATTATTTAGAAATGTGCATTTCTCTGCTTCATTACTATTTTTAATATTTCTAGATTATAGACCCAGATGAATTAGCAAGAATTAGGTAATAAATATTATGATTAAGGTCTAAAAGTTTTGAAAGGGTCCATTTTAATGTCAGTAGTGATTATATTTTTAAAAGTATGTTTTTAATATTTCAAGAGAAGATAGACATTTATTTGTTGCTTTGCAAACTTATGGGTAGAGTTCTTGTCATTTATTACTTTGCATTATGATTATATCTGATCAGTATTATGAATATTTGAGAAGGTATAAGAAAAAGTATTAATAATTATCTTCAACTTTAATTGGAGCTTAACCAGCTTATGAACTGTAGAAATAGGAACAAATAAAGCATGATACTCTTTTATTCATGTTAAGACTATGGTAGAGCATGGCATACTACTATAGTTTTTCTATGGAAACATCATGAAGTAATAGGCATTGGGGAAAATGCTGGAAAGCTAATGTCACCGTGAAGAACATGAAGTAATAACTTTTCATATAAGTTGTTTTAATATTGGGCATTTAGATCCTGCTGCTGAATTTGATAGACTATATTTGGTGAATCTGAGGAAGTAGAAATATTGGCTTAAACAGAAGTATTTTAAAGAGAATTTCTAGTCTCTATGAGAGAGTAAGGCAGTCTAAGTTACTTTTTATGAGCTTTTGGAAAAATCTTGAAGATGGGTTATGATAGTGTTACTGTGAGTTACTACTCTTGCCAGCCCCCATTCTACTTGGCTGATAAGTCACAGTTAATAAGAGTAATAGTGGGAAGTGGAAGAATGGAAGAAGGGTTGGATGGGGAATAATGGACTAAGGATGATAGGGAATATAAGACATCGAGAACAGAAAAAGGTCATAGAATGAATATAAAAAAATTCCTCTTAAATGGCTTCCCCCCATATTAGTGTTAATTCATATAAATGTTCCCTAACTTCAGGAGGAAGATTATTCAATTCAGTTTAGTTCAAATAGGGAAATATGGACTGAATTTCCATGCTGTGCAAGGCACAGTGCTAGGTCCAGGTCCAGGGATCGCGTGCTAGATAGTATGAGGAATATAAAGATGACAACTGTATCATCCTTGCCCTCAATGCATTAAATGTTCTAGTAAGGCAGACAAGACATGCACAAAAATAAGTGCAGTATAATGCAGAAGATGCATTCTATAAAAGGTTACCAAAAGGTTGCAGCAAAAAGAAGGAAAAGTTATTTCTGGCTTGAATGAGTGTAATAGTATTTAATTTAAGAAGGACAGGTGGGTTGGATTTTAACACGGAAATATGAGGAAAAGGTGGACTGAACAGTTGAAACAAAAACAAGGGTGTTTAGAATCTACACAGTGTGCCAGGGAAAGACCAGTAATTTTTTTTTTAGTTTAAACTGAGGAAAAAATGGGAGATATGACATGAGAAAGGTTGCTTTAGCTTGATAGATTTTATAGAATTTCCCTTAATAGCTGTAGGTTGAATATTGCTAAATATAATAAAAAATCAAACTATTAAGCACATGGCACTATATTATTCATGAAACTTCATTTTGGGTTACTTCTTAGATCCTAATAGAATTTCTGAAATACTTTGGAAAAGTCTCCCAAACCTTCAGAGTGAATGGGAGCGAAGTAAGGAGATCCCACCTGAACAGACACATGGTATTGATTACAATAAAGTACATTTTTTTTTGCACTTTACAACATTTAGCAATTTGTTTTGGTTAGGGAATGAGTTAGTGGCAAATATTTAATCAAACACAATAGATGTTAATAATTTAGTGTTTCACATCAAACGTGGTGTTAGCTTTTCTTAAATGTTTTATAGCATTGAAATTTACACTTTTTGGATATGAAAATGTAAACTGTTTCTTGGTGTTTTATTTTTAAGAGTTATACATCCAACCTAATTCTTTCTAAATCCTTTTTTTACAACTTTCCCCCAACACTAAGCACAAAAAACATATACAAAAGAGGAAGTGTATTAATGTGTCCATTTTTTCCCATAGATTAGATGATTAGCTATTAAATTTATTCATTCATTTATTCACTAAACTCAATCATTCAACAAATATTGTCACCTTCATATGCCAGGTACTCTTTTTTTAAATTTTTTATTGTTATGTTAATCACCATACATTACATCATTAGTTTTGGATGTAGTGTTCCATGATCCAGGTACTCTTTTGAACATTGGGTTTTACTGATAAATAACAAAAATAAGCTTTCTTTTCTTGTGATGTTTACATTACAGTGGGGAAGACAGGCAAAAAAACAAGTAAGAATACATGAACAAGATAATTTTAGAGAGTAATAAATGAAGAGAACAAAACTCCCTTTCTGATAGGGAGTCACAGGGAAGGCTAATTTAGATTGATGGTCAAGGATGATTATTATGTATCAAGAAAAGGGATGTCTAACTATGAAATAAAAAAATAATTTTTTGCCTCTTTCCAATAAGCTACAAATGGAGATTTACCTTTTTAAAAACCCTAAAGGAGACTTTATAATTTCCCCCAATTAATGGTTGCACAAGTAACATATTACTTGTGGTCCAAATTATAGACATTAGTTAGATTTTATAGAGGAAAGCTTACAAACTAAAAAACAGTAGAGGGTACAATATCTCCTGAGCTGTCATTATTCTGCAGGAAAGTATATCGAATTCACCATGGAAAGTGCTCCTGAGAGGGACTTGCTCCTCACATAATCCTACAAAATTATAGAGGCATTGGGAGGGGATAGAGAGCACCTAGTCAAACCATGTAACAGTGAGAGATTCCTGCTTGGGTCAACGGCCTTGTTAGAAAAAGGATGCTCCTGGAGTAGTAGGCATTTTGTATGTTAACATAGCCGGTATCAGTGAGAGTTATTTTTCCATTCAACAGTCCTGGTGAGCCAGCTCTGCCAAAACACCAAAAGGGAGAATGGAGAGAACTACCAGGGCCATGCCATAACAGAGATTTGTCTGTCCTCTCTCTACTTCTTGGTCTTGGGGTCTCACTAATAGGTCTCTCCATTAGCTCCAGCTGACACCTGGTCCTGATCATAACAATTTCTACAGTATTGCCTGGGAGAAAGATGACAGTAGGGTCCCCAGCTGGGGTAGGTGTGGGTGCAAAACCAGCATAAATAAATAAATTCACAGATTATAAGCTTTACTTCCTGGACAGCCAAAGAAGGCTGTTTTGGAATATCTGTACAATATCTGCAGTAAGAGAGGAATTTATTCATTATCTCCCTTGATATCACCACCTCCAACCATTTCCCAAGGTCAGACATGTTCATGCCTCACAAACTGAGATCTGTTATTCCTTCTTGGAGATGAGCCAGCTTGTCATTTTTTTGGAGCGATAAATTTAGCAGGGACCCCAAAGTTACTCTTTTTCCCTCAGAAGTCACCTGCAGGGTTAGAAGAGGATGTTTGCAGAAGAATCTGATGCAAAGACAATGTCCATCTTTTAAATGAACAGTCTGATTTGTCCATTCATACACTGAGATCAAAGTGGGGAGTAAAAAAAAAAATGGGAATAAAATATTTATCTTGAAATAATCTTTTCTTTCACTCATTAGTTCCAAAGTACATTGGAATTCAACCAATGCAGAGAGGCCCTTACAGGTTATGCCATCCTATAACTTGTGAACAACAAGGGGAAACTGGATTGACAAGTACTGTGGAGGTTGTTTGTAAAGAAACTGGCTTAGATGGCAAGTAGAATAGTCTTGATGAGCAACAATGGCTTCTCTGTCTTTTAGATAAATTCCCTGTTAAACATCTAGTTCCTTCATAGTGGAATAGAATGGAGATGGACCCAAGACCATAGGAGACACAAAGATCATACATTCTTGATTGACTTTTTTAGATCAGATATTTTTCTTTTAGATTTAGCTCCTTCTTGTGGGCATGTACACATGAAAAATAAGGATTGG